AGTTTCCGTTCTCGAGATTTCTTGATAATAAGCGAATGGAATGGCCCGTGTGTGTGTGTGTATGTGTGTGTGTGTGTGCATGCGTTCCTCTGTGTGTGTGTGTGTGTGTGTGTGTGTGTGTGTGTGTGTGTGTGTGTGCATGCGTGCCTGTGTGTGTGTGTGTGAGTGAGCATGTATGTGTGTGTGTGTGTGTGTGTGTGTGTGTCTGTGTGTGTGTGTAAAGGGGGGGGGGGGCGTGGAGGGATTTTTTTTTTTACATGAAGGATATTAGTTTTTGCTGGGTGACTAAATGCAAAATAGGTTACTGCCAAGGTCGAGCAGTCTTGTTTTCTCGCTGTACCTTTTGAAGGTATTTTCAAATGAAGTATGCACTGTAGTCCGGGACTGTTGCCCCAACCACAACTGAAGTATCTGAATATCCAAACATTTAAAAATCTCTAGCTCTTGAAATTGAATTTGCTGCAAAAAATGTTTCTTCCCAGTCCTCGCAGAATGGCAGAATGAAAGGATGACGCCTAAATCTCGCAAATAACCCAAAATATCTCGAGGTCGGAAACCGTTCGGAGAAATAATCACTTCGAATAAAATATTGTACACACACGACACACCATTTCTCATTCTAATCACCTCTGGGCAACACTCTATTTATTTGAATTTTTGAGCTAATGCTATCCTGTCTTGCTCAAGAACACATTCCAGAGACCACCAATCTATCAACTAGGTCCCAACACTGCCAGTCGTTTAGAGTTTACTAACCATTCATAAACTGTTCTCATAAGCAACAATTGTGGACACAATACGGAGTACAAATAGCGCTAACGAGAACAATTTGCAGGTCAACACATTTAGTCCTTTGGTTGTTCTCAAACTAAAGAGAAGAGACATGCAGAATAACTGGTTAGTTTGAAGGAAGAGCACTCAATTTATCAACTGGTCACCAAGCTGTGAGAAAGTTTTACCATGAAGGAGCTGAACTTTTTTTGCTTTACTTGCAACCGGAACTTCCTCTGGTTGGTCAAGTTTAGAACCAACTGTTCAACAGTAACCTCTGTCAGCACTTCTGAAATGACAGAGAGCTTGTGTGCACTGGAGCAGAAATCCATCACTGGCCTTACTAACAATCGGAACCTGTACCCGCATGGTCAATAAACCATAACAATATGACAGGGGTAAATGTGCTACACCTTGACCTTGGAGATCAACGTGCTCCTGCTCTAAAAGTGAATGGAACTCTTTCTCGCTCTCCTTCCTGTATCTCATTCTTCAAGGTGTATTGTGTTCCACCTCCTCTGTTACCCCCAATTGCTGCATTGCACAACAAACCCATCTATCGTTATTTCTTTTCTTTCTTGTCATTCCCTATAGTAGATCACTATTATTATTCAGTACAAGACCTACGATAGTAAATGTATGCCTTTTCTTTGATCCCATGATCTCAAGTAGCTTGGTACTCATATGAAGAGTGCAACACTACAAGGAGACCCCCCCCCATCCCATCCTCAGAATGCACATATATTATATCACCAGGCTTGCCAGCTTTTTCAAAACCCAATCAAGAATACACCCAACATTATAAAACAATTTCAGATTGCCTAACAATGAACAAAATTCCAAATAAGTGAGACTGGTTTTGGCGTGTGTATGTGTTAAGCAGGTTCTCAAATTCCTGCATGCCAAATCAGGGACAGTCATGTGAAATTCGGGACAGTAGGCAAGTCTGTGTACCACAGTAACAATACTAGTGAAATGTCACTGTGCCTCAAACTGTATTGTATTACATGCATAATTTCCAGTTTTTAATCTCTACACGACCTCAAAACAAAAATGGAACTCCCTCCCCCTCCCTATCCAAACACCCATCAACATTTATTTCATTTATTCTTTCAATAATTTAATGAACATTGACCGCACGTGTTGAAAAATACAGAAGTTAGTTATAGGACATTGTCAATGGATTAAATACTTTTGGCAGAGCCAGTCGATTCAACACACATTGGGAATTGGCAGAGAAGAGCAAAGCATCTCAACTTTAACAAGGAAAATCAGATACATACTGTACCCCACTGTCAAACAAGAAGTACTTTCACACATTGCATTTTGAAGCTGAAGAGCATCATGCAATGGAAAGAAATCTTTACCTTGTTGTGCGTAGAAGTAAAGAGGTGCAGGTGTGTGACTTGAGAGTGAGAATGAGAGTGACAGAGACAGAGAGAGAGTATGGATACAGTCAGACTAATTTTTTTCTCATAAATATAGTCATTCGAAGAGAGAACAAAATCTTTTGAGAAAATATTTCCAATTGAAGTGGAAAAAAACCCACATAAAACTTTATAAACCATGATTTTAAAAAAGGATCCCCTCCGCAGAAATTAGTTTCTCCCTTATTATATCACAATGGCAAAATGATTGTATTGAACAGGTGTATGGAATGTCTCTTTTACAAGAGTACACTAGGGCCAAGGCCTATTTTATCATGTGTGAGACATTTTAAACTTGAACTGTTGCCTCTCTCAGACTCTCGAGGTCTTCATAAAAAAACAATGTCATTATTAAATTACTTTCATTCTCATTTCATGGCTCAGGTACTGTATCAGCATTTAAGAACGTTCTTGTCATTTTTATCCGTTTTACATGAAATTAGTCTACTTTATCATCTCGTATTGTATTAATTTTTGCATTACTTTGATGTCTTTATTAAAATTTTATTTATACTTTACTTTTTGCAATAGAATAGGCTTACATTTCATGGAGTAGTATTTTCGCATAAATATCTACAGTATATCTGAGGGGTTTCAGGGGTCACCCCCCCCCCCACATCTCTATTGTATTTTCCAAAATGATGTTTTATTAAATATAAAGTATAGGATGATTAGGTTTGAGACTTCCTTGAAAACAACTGATTTATGATGGCTTTATGTCCATTACTCACAGACTCAGAGCAAGAGAGTAATGGACGGTCATGTCAACTGACCTCGAACCCCAAGACATTTGACTTTTTTGGGGTCAGCTCCACTCAGCGGGTGGGCAAATAGTCAAATTCTAGCAGACAAGATACTAGACACAGGGAGTCTATAGATCATATTAAATTGTTTGTGTGTAAATGGGGCCTCATGTTTCAAGCCCAAGCCACTTACTAGCGGTGCCTCAGGGAGTGGGCGAGAGGGTGGTGATCATGTAGCACTATGTGTGCGTTTTAATTTCTCGCGAAGACGAACTTTAAAAAATTCCAAAAAGACCCTGGAGTGAAAAAATACCCAATACCTCCTATGATTGGCACCCAGGCATAGTATTTGGAGGGGGGGGGGGGGGGGGAGGGGTGGTATGGGAGTGGGTCTTGGTGTAATAATAGGCCTACTTGTTAGTGTAGTACACTTTTAGAGTAGCCTAGATCTCGTAGTTAAAGTATAGTAGCATGCAAAGCAATGAGTCACTCTGTCTGCCCACTTGCTAAATGAACAGTTTTTGTCTCTGACTCTGTAACTGTATGCCTGAAGTGCAGCGATCAAATCTTCACGAGCAGGCAAGACCTGTTCATTCGTGGACTCTAATTTAGTTTAAATCTAGATCTAGATCTAATGGTCATATATGTGAGGTCTGCAGCCAAAAGAACAGCGGTCTGGACCCCCAAAACAGTGCATCTTCCTGCAGGTGTGAAATCGGTGATCTTATGTCTTATACTTTCTTTAGCACGTTAAATTCTTCAATTGAGGACTTCCGAAACGAGCGACCACTATCAGATCTGGATCAAAATTCTATGATGTCATCAAGATTATACTCAATGGCTTCCAAAATCATGATGGAAGACTGAAAACTAGAGCTGGGCGAAGAATTCATTCCGGAACCGATTCCCACGATTAATGTAGAAGAAAAGTTCCGACTCCTTTTTACGTAAACCAACAGTTATCAGCTCTACTTCAATCACTAAAATCTTATTTTTTAAAAAAGGGTATTTTTTTACTTTCCCTCCCGTCTCACACTCAGCTACCAGATGCCTATTTTCTACTAAATATTGATGCGCTGAACACGAATATCAACTAACTTCATTTCCGTCGCAAATTAATAGTTTTTGAAATATTTGATTGTTTTTAACCGAGATAGACATGCTTTGGACCAATCGGGGGGTTCCAGGGGGGCTTGCCCCACTGGGGTAAAAGAAAATCTGAGGGGTTACAGGGGGGCATGCCCCCCTGTTTTTACCCATTATTTGATATTTTACAGTTAGATTTGAAATTGTCTTGAAAATAATTGATTTGCGACAGTTTTAGTGGCTTTATGTGTGATCTGCAGCAAACAGTACAGCAGTTTGACCCCTGAAACAGTGCATCTGTGAGCGGGAGTGAAAGTAAAAATTTACCTAAAAAAGAATTTATTTTTGAAAAATTAAAAGTTAAAGTCTTGAAGATGGTTTTGAGCCAAACAGGTAACCACCGTAAGAAATTATGTCATTAGAAAGTAAGTAATTGATTTCGGAATCGATTCCTTCGATTCCTAGCTTTCAATAATCGAGAACCTAGCCGCCCAGCACTAGGCTACTGAAAACCACTGTTGATCTGTTCATGTAGGTAGGCCTAGCCTAGATCTCGTTTGCACATTTTTAGGCCCAGGCCTCAAAGTTTTGAAGGTCTGAGTCAGGGATTGTAGATCTAGAATCTATATATCTAGATTTAGATTAGATCTAGAATCTAGATCTAGATCTCTAGAGTCTAGACTTTGGGAATTTGGCAGGGAATTTAACGTGCTAAAGTTACAAAGTATAAGTATAAGATCAAGAATATCTAGTGAAATCATAAATCACTCAAAACCCATGCAAGCATAAATCGTCCTAGGGCAAGGGTTCAGTTGGTTGACTGCTGTAAACTGCAGACTAGGCCTTCTCCTGTCAAGAGAAAATTAATGACCGGGACAGGAATGGAATGACTCAATCTTGACGCAGAAAGTGAAAGTAACGCAACAGTTTACGTAACCGGAGTAACCACCACGGAAGAAAAAGTTTAACTCACTTTAACATGGTCTTCTGCAGTCTTTTAGAAAGTTCAACTCCAGCAACAGGAGTGTTATCCTCTGTGGGACCTAAGTTTATCACCCGAGCTTCGTCATCCGCAGCCATGGTTGTTGTTGTCACTAGGCCTATAGAGTCTTCGGTCTAGTGTTGGTTGGCTCGATCTGCAGGAAATCGGAAATAGATCTAGATTCTAATATATGAAAAAGAAAGAGGGTCAAAGGTTTATATAGGTCACTAACATCCAAAGCTAAGAAATAATGATTGGGCCGTAGTTTCGAAATAATCTAGCAGCTTCGTTTTTCTTAATCTGATGTTTAGTCAATGACTGGGGGTTTGGGGGGGGGGGGGTGTCAAATGAGGGATGTTTGTGTTTTTCTTTGGTCTTTTATTCTATTGCTACAAGTTAGATATATTGCGTCCGTATCAGCCAACAGGGTTGACCAGATTGGCCCTGTAACAAGAATTTTCAAGAAAAAACAAGAACATAAAGTGCGGACGCTCCAAAAAAGCCCCCCCCCCCAGATCAGAAATAAGCCAAAAACAACCCAAAAAAATTAAATTAAATTTTAAAAATAACTACTTGGGAACTGCGTCAAACTTGACTGCAATCAATCTAAAATTTCAGTAACGGATGTTGAAAGAAAAAGTAAAGCGCAAAGATTTGCACTATAAAATCCCAAGACCTTTTCATTTCTTCGTCTTTAACTTTAACGTTTAGCTGGTCTCGATCAAGGAACTCCTTGGTCTCTATACATTCCGATACAACAACAACTGGATGTCCCCAGGGAGCTTACTGTAACCAGAGACTATAAATAAATATACTGTAACCTCCTTGGATGTCCCGCACTAAACTAATGGATAGAAAAGTAGTTGTTTAGAAGTCGAAACGTTGACCAGGAAACCAAAATGAAAAGAAATAATAACGACTGAAAGTATGACTTGTTAATTACCGATATTTCCTTGGGAGTTCATATTGAGTACATGTATAATAAATTATACTATTATTAGGCCCTAGGTGTGAGTCTTGGATTTCATGTTAATCTGGGAGAGGAAGTGACCTGTTCAAACCGAAAGTAAGAAAGGATTATAAACAGGAGGTAGGAGATAGCATCGGCCAAGTAAAGCAAGTGCCCAAATCCGTTCGTCGCTTACCTTGGGCTCTCTTTCTGACTGCTTTGCTTCTTTCGCCGCTCATTCGACACTCAAACGGCTCTGGTTTTCGCACTATAGCCTACAATTACCAATGTTCAGATGCTAGAAGGTAATTCGGTAGCGACAGTGCAACGCAGTTCAGAAGTTTATGCAACTGCAAAGCCATAGATAAATACTTTAACTTTAAATAGATTCTAGATCTAGATATATAGAATCTAGATATAGAATCTAGATATTATTAGATCTAGATTTAGATATTAGGGCGATTGTTAAGATTCCCGCGTTTTATTCAGATGTGCGTTTTTCATACCCTCAGGCATATTTCGCTTTGGTCCCTAACCAACCCTAGGTTAGGGTTAGGGGTCCCTAACCCTAGGTTAGGGTTAGGGTAGGGTTAAGGTTAGGGACCAAAGTGAAATATGCCTGAATGAGGGTATGAAAAATGCACATCGGAATTAAACGCGGGAATCTTAACAATCGCCGATATTAGATCTAGATCTAGTCTAGATTCTAGATCTAGATCTAGATCTAGACTAGCCTATCACGACCTTGTCCATAGACCATCACATCATCAGCAAAGGTTAGGATTCTTCCTGCTCCACTTAACCGATCCTGGCAATTTTAGATCTAGATCTAGATCTAGATTTATTGAACAGGACCAGGCTTTAAATTCTAGTGGCAGTCCTGAGGCTGAGGCAGTCACTACTGGGTCTGACATCCATCACCAGCTTGCCGTAATCGACTCGGTTGTAAGCATCCTCTAGATGGTCTATTGCAGCCATTGCTGTGACTGCTGTCTCCTCCTTTCTCTGGAACCCTTCAAATACATCACACTAACGGTCTAACACAGCCGTGTTTGTGCAGGTGTCTTTCCCTGGTCTGTAGCTTCCAAGGCCATCCGGAAGGAGCTTTTTCTCTCTAGGTAATTTGCCTGCCTTTTAGCCACAATCTTTTCCAGGGTCTTTCCATAGGTATTCTGCATGGTGATGATTTTGTATCCCTTGATGTTGGAGTGGTGTTTGCCTGGTTTAGTGAGAGACATGAGGTAGCTGTGTAGCCACTCCTCTGGAATCTTGCCTTTGGCCTGACTCGTTGAAGTCCTCCACCATGCCCTGTAGATCTTCTTCATCTGCATCCTTAAAATGGCTGTATCTCTCCCCATCAGGTCGTGCTGCACTATCCTTCGTTCCGCTTATTACCTGCTTCACTTCCTGTATTGTGACACCCTCTCCATACAGCACCTCTGACACAGCAGTTTTCAGAATTGCTCGGATGTTAGTACGCTCCTCCGTGTTGCCTTGGTGAGTCTGCTTGATGTACCTCTCAAGAAAAGGCCGGCCTTTTGCTTCATCTGTCTCCAGTAGCCTAGATCATTCTCATCTTTAACAGACAGAGAGCCCACGTCAGTCTTTAATCCCTTCATTTTTCTGTGCAATTTCCCGAACTTGTGTAGTGCCTTCTCTGATAACACCTTGGCCACGTACTTCTCCCTTCGTTCCTGTTTGGCCTTATTTGCACTCTCCCTGAAAAGTCGCCCATCTCTTTTCATCCGCTCTCTGAGACTATTCTTCTCCTCTTCTGATACGTTGTCAGACTTCCTCGCCCTATATGCCATGCTCTTGTTGACCTTCTCTTCTGTAGCTACAGCTCTTCAAGCATAGGATTCCAATAAGGCAGCTCGGCTGAACAAAGTTGGATTTTGTTGTGCATGATGCCCAAGCCTTTCGCCTTATTTTTTACAGCACAGTAGAGCCAATGTCCTTTCCATTATATCTGAATGTTTTTTTCCTCTTGCATTTTGCCCTCTTGGCAATTGATCATTACAGAACAAGGCAGATGATCACTTCCATGGTCAGACAGAGCCTGCCATTTAGCAAGGACCTCCGAACCTGCTGTAATCAATGCCAAATCTATGTTGGAATCATCCTCTCCATTGTGCTGTGCGATCCTTGTCATGTGTGTTTCGTTGAGAATGGAAAAACTGCTCGCTATCATTGCCTTCTCCAGTGCCTTTCCTTGAATGTTATCGTGTACATTTCTCCATGTCACACTCGTAGCGTTGAAGTCCCCAACGATCGTCACCCTTTCACTCAGTAATCTGGGTTGGCCTAATGACTAATCCTAATAAATGAAGGGAAAAGTAGTCTCAGAGTGAAAACAAACTTGCTGGATTTTCAGATAATTTGAATAGGTAAGGGTTAGGGTTGCGTTACCTTAACCCTACCATAAAAACCCCTATCTAATAGATCTAACCAATATCCAACAAATGTGAATATTATATCATGCAAATCTGGAAGGTTGCCCTCAATTTTTCAACTCTGTTTGATGTGCATGTTGTTGCTGTTGTTTTCAAATCCCTTTAGCTGAGAGCATTTCGCTCTTGGCAGCGCAATGCCTCCCTCAAGTAACCAGATTCATGTGCATAAAAAGTATAAAATGTACTCCAGGTCTCCTGACAATGATGCAGGCAAACTGAAAGTGCAGAAAATCATATATATTGGCTTGTTTACGTTGTCATTGTTTGTGATAGCATCAGACAGAGTGTAGGCCTATATAATGTTCAACAATTTCAAAGAAGCAGCTGGGTTTATAATAATATAGCTTGACGCGATGAAAGGGGTTGGGACTCAGTGCAGTGTTTATCCAATGATATGCAAGTGTTAAAAATGAATTGAGCACTCTGCCACTACCCACACCTCACGAGATAACCATTGCTGCTTTCGCCACTAAACATGGGGTCAAATGACACACAATGTGTGTCTTCTGCTTTATACTGGCCATTGGATGATTAGCTGCCAGGGTCAGGGTGTTTGTTTTTTAAAGTTTTTTTGTTTGTTTGTTTTCTCTTGTGTTGTTTCCATCTTCTTCATGCAACAGCGAGGGAGCCTTATTATCATCACAAATACCTGCATTACCCATTACATTTTTTTATTAACATCACAAATACCTGCATTATGAAATTACCGAACCTCTTCTTGGATTCCACTTACAATTTTCTCAAAGGTTTTAGAAAAAGCGAAGTGTCCGTCTATTATGCCAGTTGAGTGTGAACATAGCAGTGAATGAGGTATTTTGACTTGAGAGTCAAACTCCACCTCTGGACTGACAAGCTCACTTTGCACTATAATGTATATTATATATATATATATATTTATTTATTTATTTATTTTTTTTTTTTTTTTAATTCTCTAGCCGTGTTCAAACTGCAATAATATCATAAAAAATGCATTGTCAAGCTTCCGCTTTCTTTTTTTTTTTTACAGGAATCTAAGAGAGCGTGATGGATCAAAATCAAGAACGCAATTTCAGAACTCACTACTATGAAAAAGTTAGATTCTTTCCTACGGTGGAAGAGAAGAAATCTGTGGAAAGTCTACTGAAGGAGCAGCCTATCCAGAAAGAAAAGCTAGGCCAGTTTTGTCTCCGTTTTGGCATTCCAGCTGTGTACAGAACATACGTTTGGAAGCTTCTTCTTGGTGTGTTTATGTTGTGATGATTCATATGTACTTATAGGGTTTGTAATACTGGGGATCATCTCTGTTTGGTTCAGAAGAGGGCAGGCCAGATGAAGAAATTGCCTTATGACCTCAAATGTGATTAAACAATAATGTCCACTTGAATACACTTGGTCAAGCACAGATAGCTTCATCTAATCAGAACTGTTGTTTGCTGCTTGCAGCTACCTGTTGAAGTTGACAGTAATTCAAGTGACTTGGATTTACTGACGTAACTTTTTTTTTCACTCTTCTACTGTAAAGAATTTATTGCTCTAAGTTTTGAGTTTTATAATTGAGAACACGCCTACCACATATGACCAACTACATCCACAAAGGATACACTGCAAAGCTATATATGAGTTGACTGGCGGTGTTTACAATTCTTTTTCGGTGTATGGTGGAGGAAAATGATAGGGAGATAGTTTGTAGAAGCAAAATTTAATCTCAAGGTGTTGGAGGGCACAACTGGTAGGTCTACTTCTTTTCTTTCTGTCTGTTCTGTCTGTCTGTCTGTCTGTTTGTTTGTCTGTCTGTCTGTCTTGCTCTTTCCAAGTGCTAAATGACCGTTATTGTTTCATTGTGCTCCTCTTCACTCAAACAAACAAATTATGTGTATCCATCATCGTTCAGACTCACAGTAAATGTCACCACAATTCTATTTTTCAGAACTGAACGTTGATTTCCTTCTTTTCCCTTGTCAAGGTGTTCTGCCACTCAACCGGAGTACAGAGAAGTATGTGTGGGGACATCGCGAGGAGCAAGTGAAAGAATTGGAGAGAGCAGCAGTCCTTGTGCGTCCGCAGTGTCTGGACGAGACCTTGGAACAAAAGATTCTTAGGATGAAGCTCATAGAAGACGGGGCTTTGCCAATACAGGATAAGTTTTTGGTAAAGAAAGTGCACCCCTTGTCCTCTGTGCACCTCCCCTCTCAAAGCCCCTCCCCCTTTCTCATCTTTATCATCACCCTTCTCACCCTGGACCAGGGTGTAGGCCTCCAACAGACACTTTCCTTGGGCTAGCTTTTTAAGGATTTTTAACACAATATGGTGAAATCACTTAATTTCCCTTATCACCACTGGCCATTTATTGATGATGCTTGGAGGGTTAATATCTAGATGGAGTATACTCCTGCAATAAATTAGTAAGATATTGTGGTGGCAGATCATTTAAATTAAACACTTCGGATGAATGACACTTGTCATCTTTCACAGCTGCTGAGGTTTATTCCTTTTGGGTCAGGGAATAGTGTTGGTGCTGGGTCATTTGAAATAAATGATGTTCTTTTTTTCATGTACCCTATTTTAAAACTGTTCTGGCTCACGTTTGATGGGTTGACTTTATTGGGTTTCTCTTCAGTTATTGCCAGGTTATCTTTCCTTGAAGTATGTGACTGAAAAAAAAAGCACCTTCTGTTTCAGTGTTTTCTCTGGAGGCTGAAAATCCTAGTCCAAAGCTATGCAGCAAATTTGTTGTTCTTACTTTGCTACTAATTTCTCCCTCCTTTATTCCTTATTTTTTCCCGTTAGAGAGTCTGTTTTTTTGTTTTTTTTAATGTATCAATATTGCACTCCTTTCTCCAGGAGCAAGACCCTACCAACCAGTACTTTGTGTCCATTGCCCAAGCTGTGAGTGGACTGACCAGCTCTGAGTCTGAGGCCGATCTGTTCTGGATCTCAACGCGATTTTTCAGACATATAAGTAGCAACATCTACAGTTCCCTACCACAGTTTGTGAGTATGAATATGAATATATGTTGAGCTTTTCTTAGTCTTGTCTCGTTTAGCTGACATTTCTTGTTGGGGGGGGGGGCATAGCTGTTTCTAAACTACATCCTTTTCTGTCTAATTAATCCATCAATTTCTCCCTTATTGATTTAAAAAGGTATTAGTCGGGCAGAAACTTTATGTGTTTAAATTTTAGTATATTTACTAAAGGAGTGTTTTCTTCTTTTGCAAAGAGGGAATTGGCTTCCGCACCTTCACTCCTTCCTTCATTTTCATCATTCCTTTAGCTTATTCTGTCTTCTCCTGGCAAAAATTCTGAATTTACGTCAGACCTCTCATGATCTTCCCTAAGGTTGGGTTCCTATTTGAAACTGTGTAGACCGAGAAAAACTTACTCGAAGAAACTTGAACGGTGTCTGCTTGAGATCTGGCAGGCACTTAATGAATTTGCTTGAGACCAGGCACCTGATGAATTTGTCCACAGCCAGAACTGACATTGCAGTGTCTCCAGAAAGAGGATGTGGACCATCGACTGCACCAGCACCTATGTGACCTCCGCATGTTGGAGGCCCCACTTCTGAGCTTCTGGTTCCACACTTGCTTTGCCAGTGTCCTGCCTGAATCAGCTCTTGAACGGTTGGTGTTGTTCTCATTGCCCATGGTGTTTTCACCGTTGCTTCTATGTAATATGAGATGGACTCAAGGTGTGCTGTAATTGAACCTCTGCCTTTGAAAGGGAATGGCCTTTTGATAAGTTTATAAATATTTTTTGCTGCTTTACCAAGAACTGATGCCAGCATGTATTTATGACTTAGTATTCATTAATCTTAGAATGTACAGGGAGTGTAGAATATTTCCCTATATGCCAGGGAAATAGGCTACTAACCCCTGTAAAAAAAATGCATGCAACATATTTCCTGCCTAAAGTGTGCTTTATGCGATTACCACACCTTTGTCGTTAAAATCATTTTTTTTTTTCAATGAATATATTTTATTTTCTGCCACTCAAATTGTTTTTTCATATCTAGTGTGAAATACGTTATGGTAAGTAAATGTTAATTTCCTTGTCATGAAAGGCACGTACTCGGACAGCATTCCTTCATGTACAAATCTTTGGTTTCAGTATTTGGGATCGGGTTATATCGGGATCAGCCCAAATCCTGGTGTATGTAGCAGTGTCCATCCTGCTGACCTTACGGCGACCGCTGCTGGCCCTGACCACCTCGGATGACATGCTCACATACCTCAAACACGTAAGGAGTCACTCTAGAATCTTAAGCATTTCTTTTTACACCAAATTGTAGTTGACCTTAGTCCTTAACTAGCTTCTCTTACGAATTCTCGACTTTTACCTAAGAACTGATTACTGGTATTTGGTTCCTTTTTTGCATTCTTAGTTGCTTTCAAAGTGTAGAAGGTGAATTGCAGTGAATGATTTTGGTGGGGGAGGGGGAGGTTTTCTCTTTCTGTGCCAGTTTGAGGTATGTCATTGATACCCAGTACCACAAGTGTGCCAATTCATGATCTGCTGTCAATATTGGTTTACATCCCTTTTCTTTATTCCGTCATGCTTGTAAAGCTTTAATATTGTTTACATTTAACAATACTTCTCTTTGCTTGTTTCTTTCTTTTATTTTGGTGTCTTCGTTTATATACTCTACAAGTTTTCTTTTTTTTAAAAACAATATGTCTATTAACTAACCTCTCCTTATGCCACATTCAACCTGGTACATTAACTGCTTTACTACACACTAGACCAGACAAAGGTAAAAAAAACCCTGGGAAGTGGGTAGTTGGCAGGTGCTCTGGTGGGGTTTGCTCCTTCTTTCGTATCAAACATCTATTTCTTTCCTCGTTCTTTTTGTGTTTGTTACTCTCTTGTAACACCTCTAATCTTCAGCTCTAATATTACCCCAATTGTGTTGTAAGTGCTGTAAAATTCTTACTAAATTGAAACAAAAGCTCTGGGACATGGAAAGAGTTAATAAATAGATTCATTTGACTCGGACACCTACTAATGGTGGATTATGTACATGAACATATCTGCACTGTCATGTGATTTTACATTTTTTGTATCGCCTCTTTCCTGTTACGTCCTCTTTGTTTTAATAGGCCAGAGGCTCGTCTTTCAAAAAGACCTGCTTGTGTCTAGTCGCGGCCAGTAGTAGAACTTACTTGTTTACCCTCCTTCTGTTGTATCTATGTATGCTTTTCCCCTCACACTTATTGGCCGTTTTTGTACCTGTATTGAATTTATTGATGTCCTTTCCTTCACTCATGCTTCTCTTGGGGGCATTAAACTCATTCAAAAGCTAACCATTTTAAAAATAAAAATTTGGCAGATTCCAGAAGACTGTGGAGACAGAATCGTCAACGAGGCATTGGAACTTCTGCACAAGAACTCAAGCCAAACAGCTGGAAAGCCAGACTCACCTGCTGGAGAAGATAGCGGCCGCAGTTCTGGGAACAAGCCAGGGGGAGGCAAACCTCGCCAAGGGTCGCAGGACACGTCGACACCGAGTGATAAAGTTGTACGCAGCCTCGTGGAGAGCAAGTCGGTCACCATCGAGATTGCCAGAAAGTCACCCAATGCTGGGGATAAGGCTGGATAGTCTGCCACTTCTTTGTTTCTTTGTTCATATGCTGTCTGACTGATAGATCTAGTCTGAGTTAAGTATTGTTTACAAGGTATGATGCGGAAATGAGCAGAATTTAAGCTTTATTCACCTGGTCAGGGGAAAAATGTACATATTAAACACACACAACCTCCCTCCCCCCCCCCAGAAAGAACCTGC